AAGTAGGGGCTTTGCTGTAAAGATGAGCTTACTTCCTACTAGGGAAACTGGCCATACAGACACATGGCTACAACTTTTAGTATTTTTATAGTTCCATCTCACAGCAGATCTTTAGGTCTTTTACAATCATTAATTAATTTCAAGCTATTATTACATAGCAAAATTATTGTTCTTAATAGAGGAAAAAATTGAGTCAAAAAGAATCCCTCAAAACTTCTGAATGCCTGAACCTATAAACTTCATATGTGTCAACTAATAAACATATATCTTTTGGTCTCTTGCCTTGGCCTCCCTAAGTGCTAGGATTACAGGCATGAGCCATTGTGCCCAGCCTCATTTCTCTAAGAGGCTTATAAATATGATTGACATTTCTGTGTTCAAGATGGAATTTAAAACAGTCATACAATACAAAAATTGGCGTGGTGGCTCACGCCTGTAATCCTAGCACTCTGGGAGGCCAAAGTGGGAGGATTGCTTGAGCTCATGAGTTTGAGACCAGCCTGAGCAAGAGCAAGACCCCGTCTCTACTATAAATAGAAAGAAATTAGCCAAACAACTAAAAACAGAAAAAATTAGGCGGGCACGGTGGTTTATGCCTGTAGTCCCAGCTACCTGGGAGGCTGAGGTAGGAGGATTGCTTAAGCCCAGGAGTTTGAGGTTGCTGTGAGCTAGGCTGATGCCACGGCCCTCTAGCCCAGGCAACAGAGTGAGACTCTGTCTCAACAAAAATAAAAATAAATAAAGTATAACAACTGGTGGAAGACTATTCTCTGTGGGCCTCTCTTGTTTCTACATGGCTTGTGAGCCAGGCACTGACTGCCCTTTCTTCCAGAATATCTTTTCAAGGACGTTTGTATAGTAAACAGCCTTGGGAGATGGAGATAGTGTTTCCCTCCAGAGCAAAAGGCAGCTTTGCTTACTGACCATTTAGAAAGATCCTGGTTCCTAAACTCAAGGTTCCTCTTCTGTCATGCAACCCTTTGTGCCTGCAGGCATCTGTTTGAGCCCATCTATATCACACTATAGAATTTGAGGGTAAGGAGACTGACACAGATGTACTGACACTGTTTCTGCTTGCTGTGCTGTGAATAAAGAAATCCTTTGTCTCTGACCCAATCTTGTGTCATCTCCCAGCATCTGTGAGCCTGTGGCATGTGGTGGCTTACAAGGAGGCTAAAGTCTCAAGTTCTTCATAGTTTTTAACAGTTTTTTCAACAAGGATGGGATATTGACAGAAACATGGATTTCTGGAAGAAGAATGAGGAAATCATGATCCTTAACAGGATTTGAGTGAAATTCATGGGACTTAGTAGCAAATATGTTGACCAAACTGTATGGTCAACCAGGCAATAATGGTCCCCTGCTTTATTACCTGTCAATGAGGAAGTGATTACAGACAGCTGATCACAGACAGCTGCCCAGATCACAGACGGCTGCCCAGATCACAGACGGCTGCCCAGACAGTGTCTGGCTTGTTGCTAACTTTCCTCCAGGCAGGAAGACTTCCTCACCAAAATGGCAGTCGGCCTCAGGTCCGTCCCCTTGAATAGCTAGTACAAAGATTCTTCCAGGGCAGGCAGAAGGCTCCACCTCCTTTCAGACAATAGTTATATAGATGACTACACTGAGAATGACGGGAAATTTGTGATTTCTATAGGCAGAAACTAGGAGAATCATTAGCATTTTGGCTCTTTTAGGAGACATGGGGTGGGACATATGACACCTGTTAGGGAAGAATGGTGACAGCTGAGCCATCTCAGCTCATTCCCTCCTATACTCTGTCATGCCACCTTCAGACAGGTCTCAAAGATTTTTGCAGTGTTTAGCCAAACTAGACAATATACCTTTAAAGATCTATATTTGGAAAAAAAATATTTTGAAAAACAAGAGAATGATGAATTCAAAATTTAGGAGACTGACTACTTTTCTGAAGAAAAGGCACAGGGCTAAGATCAGGAAGGAACACAGGTAACAATTATAATATGGGTAATTTTCTAGTTCTTAAGCTGGGGGTAGGTTCACAAGTTTTGGGTTATTATCATGTTTCATAATGTACCTATTTGTTACATATATTCTTTTGTGTATATCAACTGCTGCATAATAAATTGTGATCAGCTTAGGGAAATTTAGTTTATAATTGGAATTATTGAATGACAATGAATTATATGACATCTGTTAGATTCTAATATGAACTTTAGTTGAGTAGAGGATAGTGTCTTCCCTTAAAAACCTTACAATATCAACAAGAATGTCCAACAGGAAAAATGGTATATCTACATAACTTCATGGGAGAAATACTGGAGACGTTTAATGTTCTACCTTGCTTAGATATATTACAAAATGTTTAACATTTTACCCTGCTTATGAATATCATGAAATTACTGCAAATTTAATGCTGTGGTATTTTCCTAAGCTAAGATTAATTAAAAATTATTTTATCTTGATGTCTAGTTCTAGATACAGTTAATTTCCATCATTTCTGAAAGCAGACTCTAAATACCTACATTTATGATGCTGAGGGGCCATTACCCAGGGATTCGAGAAATTTGGGAAAATATTATATGTACTCTACCAACTTCTCTCTCCATGGGCAGTAAGAAAACCCGTTTTATTATATTTTTTTTTCTATCTTCTGTCTAGTCGAGAGAGGAGGGTTCTTCAAACCGTTCTCAGGTGGCAGAGCTCTAAGGAGAATTTTGTGCTCTTTGTGTCCTCTGAGAATGACCGCAGCTCCTTGCTGACAGCTTAACCCAAATCAAGGCCTCTGGAAGCTCTCCAACACTTATCAATGTGGGAAGATCACTCACAACTTGATCTAACTGTCCTTGGGAGTTAAGACACTAAATTCTTTGTGAGGTCTCCTAGGATGTTGTCATCATAAATAATACTAGCTAAGTATTTTTATCACCTACTAGACCAAATGCTGTTCATGCTATGTTTTATTTACTCTTTACCGCAACCATGAGGGGGCCATTTTCATCACCCCCATTCCGTGGTGCAGAAGTGGGGGCTTAGAGAAAGGTGAAGTAACTTTTCAAGGCCTCTCAGCTAGAATGCAAACTTGGTTCTGTAAATTCTACAACTCATGCTTTTAACAATGCCAGATCCTTTGATTCTGGTGATAAAATGTGAGCACATAGAATTTTTTTTAGCCTCATGGAAGAGAGAATGCTACATAGTTGTGATCAGAAGTTACATAGTAAAGACAAGTGGGCCACGCTCTGTGACCTCCAGGCAGGAGGGGATACTGCATTGGGAGTTGCTTAGATTTTTCTGATTATCCATTTTTTAAGTGCATTCCATACTTTTTCTTCCAGCAAAACTGTATCATTGCTATCTGGATGGTTAATATTTTTTGACAAGCTGGATTTAATGTTTTTAAAGTATGAGGGAGAGGGAACGAGTACATTAGAGATATTTTTATTTTATTAAGCATGACTACATCTTTTTAACCTGCTAGAATGATACCTAATGTACACATATTTGTTTCTGTAGGAAAGCAGGCAGGGTTGGCATAGTGTTTTGGTCTCTGGTATGTTCATGAAAGGTATGAGTGTCATTTTCCTCCTGATCTATAATTGGTCCTGATGAGGGAAGTTACATTAATTTAATGTGAAATGGACTTCAAAGGCAGAGTATGAAGTGTCTTTATACTTAGCTTGTGACTTGCCTTTATTTGACTACAGAAGAAAATAAACAAATGTTTTAATCTGACTAACAGAGCACTTAGAACAAGGGACTGCAATGTAGAGGTTGCAGAAGCCAGCTTCCCCAGGGGTACTCTGGGCTGGCGCCCTCACTGAAGGCAAGTGCTCACTTGGTGCTCCAGAGACATGGGACCCCCAGTTATAATGTTTTCAGGAGAGTATTTACAGAAAACAGTTTGCTGTTTAAGTCTATGGAATATTTTATCTTGGAGTATATTTGTACATGCCTTTGGTGGGATTTGATACAAAATCAAAATATCTTTCCTTTTAGTAGGAATGTTTTGTTTCATTATAAACTCTTCCTGAGGACTACACAGTTCTGTACATAGTCCTGGTTGAAATATAATGCATAATTTGAAATGCAAGCCACTCCAGTTTACAGACTATATCATATCAGGGTCTTGGAAGTTGACCAAGAGGGACCTTTATTTTAGTTTAGTCTTTGTGGTTTTGCCAGGGTTTCTCTTCAGGGACCATATTTCTTGATTTGGTGATCAGATCACACACTATTAATCTATTAGTTAAAGAGGTGTTTTTTGCACACTTATTATGCACACTTATTATGGGGTTAGTTCAAGGTTTTCCCCTGTGGAAGAAACAAAGGAAATATAGTCTCCAATTAAGAATGATTTGGTTTCCAAATGGTTGGAAAGTTGAATCTTGAACCTGGAATGTGGTGCCCAACAATGTAATAAGTGACACTTAGTTTTCCAGGCTAGCCCACAAGACATTGTTAATCCCTAGTGAGGTTCATCCATACTGTAATGTCTGTGGTTCCTGGTAGGGTTAAAATGCAGAAAGACAGAAGGAGAGACTTCCCTCTGTCCTTCTGGACACTAAACTCACCCTTTTTCAGTGCCTTCCTGCCCCACGGGTTCCCAGTATCCTCCAATATCACCAGCCGCTTCTTCCTCATTGCCCCAACCTGTTAAAACTCTCATTTTCTCAGTGTAGCTGATCTCAGTTAGATGTTAGTAGAGAAGTATTTTGATTTAACTAATTCATACTAACGTGCATAACTGATAATTTTCTTAATCTTACCAGGGACATTTGCATTATTAAAAGAAAATACTTATGAAATGCTTTTATTAAGTCAAGCAAGTGTAGATTATTTAGCACATTGAATAAAGTGAAATGAAAGACTGATGGCAAGTTAGGGAAGTTATATTGGGACTGCATCATCACCATGGAGGCAGAACAGCCCTAGGGGGAGCTCGTTCCTGGTGGGGCAGCTCCCCTAAGCCAGTCCTGCTTTTCATCACTTCTTCCCTTCTATTGTTTCTAAACTTGTAGATTCTGGAAAAGGCCACATGTTAACACAGTGATGACAGCAGTAGAAGCTCCATCGGTTGAGGTGAGGTTTGGGGAGGGCCAGGGAATTGGCTGAGGTCACTGATGTTGGACTTTAGGTTTGAGTTATGTAGATGCCAAATAGTAATAAAGTTAGGGGCTGCCTACTAACCTAAAGAATGAGACAAAGGTATTGCACCAAATAGGTACTAGAAATTATGAAATCATTCAGCAATCCAGGCTGTATTAACTGGTCATGAGTAGGAGCCATGTTCGTACCTACGGGTTCTCCCTCATCAAGTTTCACCAGCAAATCCTCAAAGACACCAAGAGCGTTTCCTAACCCAGGGCCTCATACACACATTCATTTTGCCTGCAATACTCTCTCCATGTCTGTGTGGCCCTGATTGTATGTGACTGTGTTTGGGAGAAGGGAAATCTATTAGTAAGGACAATTAAGATCTGAAGGGAGCAAGAGGTGCCATTGGCATAGTGTCATTTGAGCATATCCCTCAAGGCCCTGCTGTAAAATATCTTTCCAATCACTACTGATACTGTGTTTGAAATCCTATCATTGAAAATTTCTTCTCTTAAAATGCACATCCTCTAACAGCCAAAGTCTCAGACAAAATTGCAGTGTAATTAAAATTCTTTTCAGACCCCCAGGCATACTTTTCAAATAAAGTAGGGGTCCCCAAACTATAGTGAGTTGTATGATTATTTCATTATATATTACAATGTAATAATAATAGAAATAAAGTGCACAGTAAACTGAATGTGCTTGAATCATCCCGAAACCATCACCACACACCCCCCACCGGATCTGTGGAAAAATTGTCTTCCATGAAAATGGTCCCTGGTGTCAAAAAGGTTGGGGACCACTGAAATAAAGTATCTTTCCCCTCTCTCTGAGATATCTCTTCCCCTTTCAGATGCTCAGGACTCACATGTCAGTCTCTAAATCAACACCTTATTTCAAGAAAGGCTCTGTTGGATATGGCTTATATGAACTTCATGATGCAATTTTGAATCAGTCTGTTGTCTTCTCCCAGGATATAACATGTGACTCATTGTAACTCCAGCTGCCTTAAGTGATAAAAGGAATTTGTTGACTCTCACAACTGAACCATCCAGAGGTGGGATTGGCTTTGGGTGTAATTCCATCGGACCCCAGGTTTATTTTTCAGCCTTGCCCTTGCCTTGCACGGGATATGATCTGGGACTGAGTCCCCTGTGACTGCGACACTGACTGCAGCAGCTCCATGCCTCAAACCTACAACCTCAGCAACCTGAGCTGAGTAGAGAGTGCTACTAAGGAAGGACAGAAGTCCTGAGCTTCTCTCTAAGGTCATGGGACAGCTGTGAGCTAATGATTAGGGCTGGCAATGTCTGATAATCAGAGAACTAGTCACTGAGGGCAAGAAGTTGGCATCCTGCTCATTGGCACAGAACAACCTCTGGAGCTGTGGTGAGATCCTTCCCTCCCAAATCACGGAGATCCTGGAGACCAAGAATGGGGGCAAGGTCCCGAGGATTCTAGGGAAGCACCAAACAATGCCGATGGCATACAGGTATTTGTATTTTATGCCTTAGGTTTATTTGTGTAATGTTAAAGAAATGTGGGCATCAACAAGCAGATGGGAAAGGAATCGTTTTTAGGGGACAGTGGGGCTATCTGAGAGTCCCTGAGACTTGTTACTCCCCAGCCTTGCCCTCGAAACTCATTCATATAGTCACTAATTTGCTAGTATGGCCCAGTTACCCAGTTATTTTTATTTCTGACACACACCTGTCCAAGGGAGGGTATTTGAACCTGGGAGTCTGAAACATTTAAAATAAGCTAAATATGTGGGTATCAGGGGTAGAATTCAATAAATATATAGATCCTATTTGTTTAGGACAATTATGTGTTATTTAGAACTAGTTATTTTGCAAAATTAAATAGCGTTCCTCATTTGCTGTATTAGAATAATTTTATAAACAGGAATTTGGCAGGAGGGGGAAGGAAAGGCAAATAAGGCTTATCGGTTAATGAAAGGTTTGGTGATCTTTTGTTCTCTACATTTCTTAAGTTTAAAGAGTTTTTTTATTCAGGATAAAATTTTCAGTTTTTCTAATGGCCATGGTTTTATTTCTTACAATTTTTACTTGTCTAAATAATACAAGGCTGTATTGAATTTCTTCAGAAATATTTTTAAACTAGGCAAAATATATAGCATTTAAAAATTTCAATCCTAGGTCTTTTTTTCTCAACCAACTATATTCGTTAATATTCACAGAATGTTAACATAAAATGAGCATATGCGTCCCCATCAACAAACATTTATCATGTGCAGGAAGATTCCCAGTTGCTGGGGATACAGAGAAATAGAAGGCATACTCGCTTTCCTCGGGGAACAACATATGATCTATTTGGAAAGAAAGGCAAATGCATGGAAAATAAAAAGAAGCAGGCTATTCATTGCCTAGTGCCAGCAGGCAAGACAGCAGTAAGGAGTATAGAAAACGGAACAATTGCTAGGGTGAGGAGAGGAGGCCTGCCAGAGGGTGGGGGAGTCTCAGATTTTGGCAAGGAAGGGGAGAACATCCTAGGGCATCAAGAAAGTTTGCTTTGGCAGTTGCATTTTATTCTGTTTTCCCTAACTGTATTATTAGAGCATTTGCTTAATACTAATATTTTCTTTATTGCATAATATTTCCTGTAGAATTGTTATGAGTTGTTATAGATCACTTCTGACCACCTGTGTATTTTCCAATCATTTCTGTAATGCAGGTGTCCTCAAACTATAGCCCACGGGCCACATGCGGCCCGAGGAGGACATTTATCGGGCCCACCCAGTATTTTCGCTGACGCTGCCTGTCCTGCTTAGCAGCCAACTTGTCCCAGGCCCACAGTGCGCATGTGTGGAATGTGCTCCGCACTCTCCAATGGCCCTCCAATGGTCTGAGGGACAGTGAACTGGCCCCCTGTTTAAAAAGTTTGAGGACCCCTGCTGTAATGATTCCCTAGTATTCTTTCAGAACTATCTTATAAAGGTATAATAATAATATAATTCTAAATTTCTTTTACAATGTTGAAGAAAGTATTGCCAAAACCAAATTAGAAAATAAAAGTATCAACAGTTATATTTCTTAAGAAAAAATGTTGGGACAATTTCTTATTTTTTGGTGCTGAAAGTTGTTCCATCTACGCAATCACTCTTCTGCTGTGTCTTAACATATTTGAGACCATTACTCACTGTAATCTCTTAGCTTGATATATTCAGACATGAGAATTTCAGAAAACTGAATCTGACTATGATCAAGTTGGCGGAGTTCTTAGCTGGCTTTATTTAACATTGAGTTGTTGGATTATTCTTACGTTAATAAATTTAGAATTAAACCCAAAATTTTCCATTTCATGTTATTTCTTCTCTTCTAGTTATTTCCTGTCATTTTTTCCCACCAAGCCTGTGAACTGCCCTAGTTGGCTGTGAATTACTTTTGGACAGGGATCATTGAATCCCTGGAGCTTTGGACAGTGCCTGACACATAGAAAATACGCAATAAATGCTCCATGAATGAATGAAAACATTTCACATATAAATAGAAATAATGCAGAGGAAATTACATACAAGCACATATGTATGGTTTTTATTTTCACACATGATTTTGATCAATCTGTCTTATTAGAGCAACTTCCTGCTAGTTTTACCTAGTCAGGAGCTAACCTTGATATGGAGGAGGTAAGGTTTATAAGTCTAGCAAAGTATTCTTGAACATCAGTTATTTTGTAAGACGGACCTGTTATCTTGACACTTTAACACATTTGATGATGTGGATGCTCAAATTTTAAAATATCTTTAGTTCCTCTTCTGCATAATTAAGTTCTTTTTAGAACAACTTACATATTGTAAATTCTACATATATATTTCAGACTAGTCAACACAACTAAAATTTTATCATGATTACTTGCTTTCAAAGTTTTCCTTCATTTCCCACCAGGCAGCTTCCTGTCAGAATTCATTTCCCATTTGGAAAATATCTCTCTGACCCATGGTTTTCTGGACACAATCCATCCTTCACATATTTAAGTCTACCCATTGTCATCAATCCTCAGCTCCTCAGATGCCAAAAACCTCCTTTATTTTTAGAGTGATAAGATCTATCAAAAGTGTTAGAGGAGAGAAAACTAACAAGAATGTTTAAAGGGTTTTGTTCCAGTGATTTTTCCAATTTTAAAAAAATGCTTTCAGTATCTGTTTTTTTGTGATTAGTGCTTAAGAAATTAAGGTAATAACTATTACAGTTGAAACAAGATATGCTTTCTATTTTCCCTTAATCTAAAGTTATTAAAATTAAATGATTAAGTAATTAAATAATTTAAGTAATTATAATTAAAATTAAACTTTGGCCAACCTGTAGTATAATTCAATTCAGTTTAGCAAACATTTATGGAGACCCTTCTGTTGGCGCCCCAGTACCATGGTTTCTACAAGAACTGTCCTTTAGAACTGGCCTTTGCAACAAGCAAATGTGAGAGAGTGTGATCCAGATGTGACTGCTAAGGAAGTTAAAATGCACTCTGGAAGGTTATTAGGTAGGGAAGGCATCATCCAAGAAGGAAGTTCATGTTGGATTTTGGAGAAAGAATTAGATTTGGTTTGTGTCTTAGTTCATTTCCTATTGCTATAATTGCATACTTGAGACTGTATAACTTACAAAGAAAATAAATTTGTTTCTTATAGTTCTAGAGCCTGGGGAGTCTAAAAGCATGGTGCTGGCAAATGGTCAGGGCCTTATGGTTGTATCACATGGCAGAGGGTGTCTCATGGCAAGAGGGCAAGAATGTGTGTCCCCTTAGGTCTCTCTGTCCGCTTAGACCTCTCCTCTTATTATAAGGCCACCAGTCCCATCATGGGGGCCCCACCCTGATTACTTGATCTAATCCTAATTACTTCCCAAAGGCTCAATATATGAATTTGGGTATTAAGTTTCTAACACATGAGATTTTGGGGACACATTCAAGCCATAGAAGCTTGCAAAGGGGAAAGTCATTCCAGGTGACGGACACTGGGATTGGGTTCAGCAGGCCATGTGCTTATTCTTAGGCATGGAAAGGACACAATGAGAAAGGTCTTCATCTGGTTGCAGGATGTACCAGAGAATGAAAGACCAGTCCATAGGAAGCCATTGTAACTGACCAAAGTTTAATTGATGAAGTCTTGTTTCTAGGATAAAGGAGATGGACATATGAAGGGAAGGTCAAATCTTAGGAATATGAACACAGAAAGCATCAGATAGTCTCAATAGCTGAGTAGATATTGGGAAGCAATGCAAAGAGAACTGTCGAGGTTAGTTGCAAAGGATGGGGAGCCCAGGCAAGTAGGAGAATCATGGTGCCATGTTGGTTTAAATGGACAAGTAGAAAGACATATGTAACAGGCAGAAGGAACACCAGCATCTGCAGTTTCATGGAAACAAAGGCAAGACAGTGTTTCAAAATGACAGGGAAAACAGAAAAGTCAGGAAATAAGGTCTGAGGGATTTTTTTTTTTAAGAGAAAGACAAAATGCTGACCTTTGAGTAACTTCAGGAAAGTGATGGAAGTGGCTACCAGATGGCAAAGACCCTGAAAAGGGAGAAAGAGTTTGTGTTATTGGTGAGCCTGTAACACAAGATCCTGCAGTCATTTCAAGTAAGAAACTCCTTTGAAGGAAATTCACTCCTCAACTGAGTAGTGTTATATAACAAAATGCCAGTATATTATTAATACCTGTAGATTTAAAATGTACCTGGTTCCACATTGTAACCCCAAAACATTATTTTTATAAACCATTTGGAAATAATATTTTGATATTCTTTGATTCTACTCTTTCAAAATTTCACTTATCCCTCTCTGAGATTTATTTCTAGGTCATTGATTCAGATTCCAAAACTAGTGTTTTCTACAAGCTTATTTTATGCCTACTAGAGTTTAAATTTAAACATTTTCTAACAGTAGCAACTGAAATAGCTTCAAAGACATTTTTCATATCTACCTTACTTTTTCTGGGTTGATTGTATCTTTTCAAAAACACCCCAGATTGATAGCACCTGAGAAAGTATGCCTATAGTAACAACACAAGCTTTTTAGAACTGGTTGAGAAATATATTTTGGCCTTGTTCTGGTTTCTGAAGACATCTTTTAATCCTAAGAGCCACCAACCAACTAAAAAGTACATTAGAACCGGAGTCGTAGGACCTAGGTGCCATTCCCTAATTTGTTGCATGAGGTCAACTTCTAGAGTTTCTCAGCTGTGAAGTGAGAAGTTTGTATAAGATGGTCAATTAGGTCTCTTTCAAATGAAAGCTCAGAATCCATGACTATCCTACTTTATTCTTTCATTTACTAATCAAACTCACCACATGGCATGAGTTTGCATTCGAAGACATGATAAGGGTATTCCTCATGTGCTCTCCTCTCCCTGTTCCCTAAACCCACATCCTCTACCTATCATGGAATGGCCTCATCTCTCCCTCCACTTGGCTAACTCTCTTATCCTTCTAACCTTTGGGTACCTATTTTTTGGCACACAGTGGAATCCCTGGCCCCTAGTGACACTGGTACAGATCAGGTGCTTAGTAAGTAGACAAGCTGTGTTATATTAGTGCCCACCTTGGTGGTTCTCCACTCTAAGCATAATCATCAATTGAGAAATGAATTAAATAACATGGAGATCTCCAGGTACCACTCCCTGCCTTTGGTATTTGAATTTCTAGAAATGGGCCTATATATCCTATTTTTAAAATCCCCACAGGTCATGCTCATGTGAGAAGCAGTAGTCTGCCCTCTGCAAGTTCCTTGAGGACACAGACTATTGTTTCTGGCATTTCATTCCCAGGCTCTAGGGCAATTTCTGGCAGAAATTAGATATACAAGCAATGTTTGTGAATAAATGAATCTAACTTTTGAGAAAAGTAATAAATAATAAATGAGAATAAAATGCCCTTTCTTCTGTTTGCAGATATAACACCTTGGACCTTTTAAGACTAATTCACTCTACCCATACAAAATTATATTTTTAAATAAATGAAATAAATTATGTAAGTGCATAAACCACTAGTTCTGGTAAAATTCAAAACTCATTGTTTATTATCTAATAATTGTGGCTAGAACTACTTGGCTTTGTTTGCCTGATTTTTACTATTTTATGATAAGTTATTTACTTTCATTATTACTGCCTTGCCTGGTCACAACCCATCATGCTTTTGTTGTCATATAATTCTAGTATTTCAAACTATAGTTTCTTTCTTTGGGGTGGAGGATATGAAGTGGTGGAATGAAGTAGAACTAGCATTGACTCTTTGTGTCGCCTCAAAATGCACAGTCGTGTTATGTCGTCTTTCTATGCTCTAGGGAAGGAAATTAAGGGAATTGCTTTTTAGCTAAGAAAATTATGCTATCCCAAATACAGAAATCTTATCTCTGATACCCTATTTACCTTTGTTTCAGTTATCTATTGCTGAGTAACAAATTACTCTGACACTCAGCTAATTAAAACAGTAAAACATTTAGTATCCAGTATCTGTGGATCAGGAATCTGGGAGTTGCTCAGCTGGGTGGTCCTGGTTCATGTCCTCGTAAGGTTACACTCAGGGCATTGGTCATCTGAAGGCTTAACTGGGGCTGCAGGATTTGCTTTCCAGGTGGCTCATGCAGACGCCTGCCAAGTTAGCGCCTGCTGTTGTAGGAGGCCTCCGTTTCTCACCACATGGCCCTCGCCAGGGCTGCTTGAGTGTCTTCACAGCATGGCAGATGGTTTCCCCCAAAGCAGGAGAGCCAGGAGAGGGAGAGCCTGGAGGAAGCCCGGTGCCCACGCTTCAGGGGAGGGCTGTTAGGCTCCACTCTCTAAGGGAGGAACATCAAAGAATGTGTGGACATATTTTAAAGCT